CTCTCTCTCTCTCTCTCTCTCACACACACACACACACACACACACACACACACACACACACACACACACACACACACATACACACACACACACACTCTTCGCTATTTCTCTTTCTTGCCGCTATCGGTTTTTTTTTTTTTTCCCCCTACCTTCCGACTTGTGTCCTCTCTCTGTCTCCCTCTCTCCCTCGTGCCCTCTCACCATGCATGTTATATCCGTCGAATGAATGTGGGAGACTTTCTCTTTCTCTTTTTCTGTCTCTCTCTCTCACATAGAAATAAAAAGAGAAAGACTCTGAGAGAGCGGAAAAAAAAAAGAGACGTACATTTTTTTTTCCGTGCACCCAACATTTTTCACTTCTGCCTCCGCCTTCACTCCCCCTCCACGGCCGCAGCGTAGTTGCGGCGGGTCCAGTTGTAAAAATAAAAATTATTATTATAGTCTACCTTATAATTTAATAAGCATGATCCTGAAATAAAATTATGCGACAAATATGCAAAAAATGATAAACCTAATGATTAAACAAATAGATAAACACAACAATGATAATAATTTTTCATGTTGTACACCAATGTATGTGTGTGTGTTGGGGTGAATGTACAAGTGTATATATCTGTGTCTATGTATCTGTATTCGGGTCTATGTGCATATATGTATGCCTTGATGTGTATGTGTATGTGGGTATGTGTGAGCGTAAGTGCATAACGCATGCCTAAATATAGACTAAGGAGTCACAAAACATTCAATTGAACACACATAACCTTTAATGGTGAGAATCTTGAAAAATATCATAACATATTCGTATTAATCAAGGGATAAAAAGTTAACAAAACCCTTAATTTTAAGGGTTTTTTCAGGGTCATTATAACAAACATCCCACATCTTTTAAGCTAGACTTGTCACGAGTCCATAAAATGGGAAAAAAAAATAGAAAAAAAAAAAATCGAAAGGCATAAAACCCCAAGGCACATGTGTGTTTTCAAGCAAAATTCGCTCTTTTGAAATTTTCAAGATTTTTATAATTTCAGGGCTGGCCAAAACAGTCGGCTCAAAGACCCCAACAAACACCAAACTTGGCATACACAGACCTTAACCAAAAATCAAATAGGGCAAAAAAAAAAAAAAAAAAAAATCCAAAAACGCACTTTTCAGTGTTGAGAGTGTTAATCCGAGTCTGAAAAGTGGGGGTCTCTGTTAACCACTTGTGTGAATAAGAAACAAAATAGTATATAGTCGGGTTCAAACCAATTCAAGCATGTTGGCAGATAAAGGTAAGTTATTATCATTCCCAGTCGTCATTGTTCATTATGGTAGATTGAAGAGACTTGCAAGTGTGCCTACAACTTTCCGTCTCTTCAATTTCGAAGTACGTCTCCAGAAGCTTGTGAGTTGATGATGTCAATTCCAACAAGGGCCAGCCAAAGACACCATCGCCAATCAACTTGAGAGGATTGTGCAACACACAAACCTAAAAACATGAAGTATGTTGTCTCTACTTATTTTTCATAAAAAGTAGTAACGACGTCATCTCAACTCATCTTTCACAGAGACATGGCGAACGAAGAAGAAGGAATAACATGAGAAATGGTGATGTGCTCCAAGCAAACAACCATCAGATTAATAAAAAGTCAAATAATATGAAACTTAATAGGCTTTGTATTTAAGACCAAGAGATTGACAAATCCCTAATTAGTTTTCATATAGTGTGTATGCGACAAGCGACTCCCACCTCTTGGTCATCCGCATTTCAAACCACCCCTCTATCCGCCTTTTGAATCTGGGGGACTGGTAGGTCGTTTTTTCAAATAGGCATGTGGCCTACTGGTAGGTGTGTGGGGGGCCCGCCCTTGGTCCCAGAGTGACAAAAATGGAAATATGCCGAATCGGCGCGACGATTATTTAATTGTCAAAATTATGTTTTTACTTTTTTTTGCTATTTTTCTTGGAAAGGTCACAATGAAATCTACGCACCTATAATTTTCAGAAAATTCAACTCCTTCCTCCGATCGAGAAAAATCATTAAAGTTGGAGTACTTCTTTTCTTAGCCCGACACATGGCAGAGTGGCAAAAGCAACAATTTTTTCACGATCGAAATGATTTTTTTTTTTTAAATACTTTTCCAAGGAAGACCATAACGAAATTTACAACCCCTTGAATTTTCAGATTTTTTTTTAGTTATTCTTATGAACAAGAAAAATCATCAAAGTTGTTGCACTTCGACTATTAGTCGGCATATGGTGGAGTGGCAAAAATGGAAATGTGCCGAATCAGCACAACGATTATTTCACGGTCAAAATGATTTTTTAATTTTCCTGATTTCCCCCCCTGTAAACATCACGACCTTATATACGGACCCTCAAATTTTTAGAATTTCCTGTAAATTGTTATGAGCACGAAAAAACGCCATAGTCGGCACTTTAAAAATGAGGGATTAGGCCGCCAGTTGGCATAGGTCGCCGCACCCGAATTCACAAGGAGGGCAATTTCTGGGAGGCGGTTAGAGGGGTGATCGGGATCTACGCACCAAACTAGACCGACAAGTTAGTGCCAACAAATGGGTGATCGGGATCAGTTATAGCCAGGGACCAGGTAAGGCCACTGCAAAACCTTGCCCTACCGATGTGTGTGCACCCTATGATGTTTTAGACTACTTCAACATCGTGTTCTACCACTGTGACCCACCGCTAATCTATGCGGCTCCGCTAAGCGATCCCCCCGGCAAGTTTGATACTTGTCCGAATATCCTGTTGTGTGTCATGTTCAGACCTAATGACATGCGGGCTACAACCGTAGAATAAACTTCGCTGGAGTGCCTTGATTATTCTGTTGGGGTCATCCCCATTTTCATCAGGGACGCTGGGTCCGTTTTCCAACATTGTGTATAACGCAGTCCTGGACACTGGGCCCGCTTGTCCAAAAAAAAAGAGGCAAATTTGCATCGGAATACCTGCTATACCCAGTCCCAGGGTGCATCGAAATTCGCATGGTATCCAATTTTTCACCTGTGCCAAATTGTAGGCATACAGAGTCCCGCCCTCCCTTGCTCATGCCCAGAACCCTGGCTGACAAAATTGTGGGTGTACCCACACCCAGTGGCGGACGTTGGATGGAGGACCACGAAGTTATGATCATGCCCACTAAGTGGAAGGTTCAATGACTGCTGGGTATCGGCATCATTTCAGCCATCCCGTCTTAGGGTATATGAATAATTTGGCCGTTCCACCTCAGTCCTGCGTATGGCCATAACTTTGCCTGGGTATGTCCATAATTTGTGCATTCCAGTAATTGGTTAGAACCGCAATTTTGGGGTCCCAACCGGTCCACCTCAGTCTTGGACATGCAAATAAATTCCACCGTCAATTTCTCGGGTATAGATGAAAGTTGGCGCTGGGACTGGGTATAAGAATAGACGCAATTTTCGCAAAAAGAAAAGAAAGAAAGGTAGCGTTTTTTTTTTTTTTTTTTTTTGGAAAGGTAGCGTTTTCGTGGCTGCCGTCGGTCCTGGAACTCTGACCGTTGGGACCGCTGCTCGGGGCTACTGGTGGCTTCTGCCACTCCTTACCCGTGGCGAGGCGGCGTCTGGGTCCCGGTTCGGTTCCGGATCTCGGTCCCGGTCCCGGTCCCCGTCCCGCTCCCACTCCCGGTTCTGAATCTCTCAGTTTTACTTTTTTCCTTTCTCCATTCCCTGTTTTTGTATTCGATTCCCTGCAACCTGATATTGTTTGAGCTTGCGTCTCGGCGGGCTTGGGTCAGTAGGTGGAAAGCCTCCGTGGCTCTAATCCTCGCGGTTGTCATGTCACATCACATTTGGTTCCCGCCAAGTGCTCCGCAGCTCAGGTGCTCTCTGGCCTCGTTCTCCGGCAAGCGGCCAGTCACGCAACGGGTAGGTAAGCTTCTCCTCCCACCTGTTGTCATGCTCCTCTTCTTCTCCTACACTCAGCCTCCCCTATCCTTGTCATTCTCCCGTCCTCCTCCTCCTGCCATGCTTCGCCTATCTGTTGCTATGCGTAGGCTTTTGTCCTTCTCCTTTTCCCGCCCCTAGATTTCTTCCCTGGTCTTTCTCCTGCCCTGCTTCTCCTCCTGTCTGGCTCCTTCTATCGGCCCCCCCCCCTCCTCCTCTCATACGCGGTGGCCCCCTCCTCCAATCGGACGCGGTTGCCCCCTACCATTCTTCTTAGCGTTCCCTCTTAGTTTATCTGCTTCTCCTCCTCCGCTTCCTCTCTCCTGGTCTCCTCCTCTTTTCGTCTGCTTTATCCCTCGTCTTCACCTTCTCGACGATCCTGCTCCCTCGGATAGCAGGTGGATGGAGAAGAAGAACGGGCAACAGGGGATTATAATAATTGCGTATACAAAAAAGGAGACAAAGGACGATGTAGGGCGGGATTGACAAGTAGAAGATTGGATGGGAGCTGCGAGGGATGAGAAGACGATAGATATATAGGACCAATGAGGAGGGACGGAGGAGAAGAGTAGTTGGTGAAGGGTGAAAAAGAGGAGGAAATATGTTTCGAAAGATGGTTGTTGATTTCGACAGCTCTCTGATTGTGCTGGCAGAGTTATCATTTTGTGCGGTTGTTGTGGCTGGGGGGGGGAGGAGGGGTAGGGGGAGGGGGTGCAATCAGCATCAGTGGCTGTTCTTCAAGGGATAGTAGATTAAACAATTTTTCGCGTTTCGCCCTCCCCCCACCCTACGTAGCAGTCTGAAGCGCAAAGCAGTAGTTTTCTCTGGCCGCTCGCCGTGGCCCTTGCCGGCTCCCTCCTCTTCCTTCGTCCTGCGTTTCCTTCTCCTCACCTTTCCCCCCCCCCTATGGTGCCTTCCCCCCTCCTCTCTTCCCTGCAAGCAAATAGGTAGCTATTGTATCGGTAAGTTCCTCCGCCGCTTCCTCCCGTCCTCTGTTCATCGTCTTCCTCTCGTTGCTGTCCTCCTCTTCCTTCTTCGCTGTTGTCCGCAGCCCGTCCTCCTCTTCCATTTTCTTGGCCTCCTTTTCGACAAACCTCCGGGGCCACGTGACGAATGTGGGTGGGCGAAATGCGATGAGACGGATGGACTCTGCTGTCGACAGCTTTGGGGGCGTAGGAATGGGGAGGGGATTTTGAATGGTAGGTACAGAAGAGCAGGAGAGGAGGGGAGAGAGGGTGAGAAGACCGGACATGGAAGCGGTAGGAAAGGTGGAAACGAGTAGATCAGATAGTCGTTCGCCTCCGGGGTGCATTCTTTTTCATATGCATGTCCTATATTGCCTATACTGCTGCCGCGGTGAAATTCGCTTCCTCTACCCGACGGAGCAGCAGCTGTGCTCTCGCCCTATTCGACCGCTTGTCGTTGTTCCTCTCGTCCCCTCTCCCCTATGCTCCACCTCCTCCACCTCCTCCACCTCCTCCACCTCCTCCACCTCCTCTACCTTCTTCACCGCCTCCACCTCCTCCACCTTCTCTAGTTCCCTCTCCCCAACGTATTCCGTTTGATTTTCGCCTTTCTCGGCGTTCCTGTTGTCGGCTGTTCGTCCTCGTCTTCCTTCACCATTGTGTGCTTAACTAATGTGCTACAGATAAGCTCCTCCCCTTCCGCTGTCCGCTCCGGTTTCCCTCCTTCCCGCTCTTCTTGTCCGCACGTCCGTTACCTCCTCTTGGCTTCCTTCCCACTCGTAGTCCCCGTCGCCTCCTCTCCACTTCCTCCTCCTTTTCACGTGCTCCTTTCCCCTTCCTCCACTTTGTCCTCTTGGCTTCCTCCCCACTCGTAGTCCCCGTCGCGTCCTCTCCACTTCCTCCTCCTTTTCACGTGCTCCTTTCCCCTTCCTCCACTTTGTCTTCGTTTCCCCCCTCCTCGGACCTTCGTTGCTGACCTCACTCGCGCGCCTGTTTCGTCCTGTTCCTTGGTCACCGTCGCAGTCCTTCCCTTGTCTTGCGCTCTCCTCGGCCGGGGAGATCGTTCTCGAGCGTCGATGGCAGTTTGACGGTGAATGAGAGATGGAAGAACGGGGTAGAAAAATGATAGCGGAGTTTACTTATTAGGAAGTGCAATGAGCGTGTAAGGCGAGTGCGGTGATTCGGATGTGGGAGGTGCTGGAGGTGGAGACGCGAGGACACGTGGAGAGGAGGATGAGAAGACATGGGGATAAAAGGAGGAGGGGGAGAAGAGGTGGAGGAGGAGGAGGAGAAGAGGAGGTCGAGGAGTGGTGGTGGAGGAGGAGGACGGGCGAATTGTCGTTCAAGTGAAGATGATGTTAGAAAGGGAGACGCAATGTGATTCGCGGGCGAAAGGTTCATTATCCACCGCATGGACGGCAGTCGATATGACAAAGGAAGAGCATTTTGTTGTGACCGATTTTAGCAAAGAAGAACTTCGCTTCGGCGAGGCATGACCAACGAATTTACTGTATGAAATTGGAGCGAGGTTAGGAAACAATTGTCCTTAATAATCAGGCTCTATTCCGGCAGCGTGACGCTGCTCGTCTCTTTCTTCTTTTTGTCATTGTTGTCTCTGTGTCTGCGTAGTATTTGGCCCCTCCCCTCCCTGTCTAATGTGAATCTCGCTGCCTTTTTTTTTT